GATTGATTGATTGATTGATTGATTGATTGATTGATTGATTGATTGATTGATTGATTGATTGATGGATTGATTGATTGATTGATTGATTGAACTAGTGCCCAGCATTTGCAGTGCAGCAAGATGTTGCCTTAAAGTTCGAGTCTGAAGATAAATCAGCATCCTCTAAATGAGCTGACTTCCTGTTGTGCCAGTAAGACGGCTTGTTGTTGTTTGTGAACTCGGGTAAACTTGTCGTTCATGCAGCTTCAACCAGATGTTGAGGCAGAACAGCAGCTGCAGAAATAACTGAAATTAGATCCATAAACTAGGGGTGCACCGATTTATCGGCCCCGATTCCCTGAATTTAGGGAGATCAGAGAGCGGCTGATACTCGAGAAACAGATTTTATAGATTTTTTTGTTTGTTTTAACAATTGTCTGAACTTTTTTTATATGTCATGGGCAGTTAAAACAAGTTTGTATTGTTTCTAAGATATTGTTCAAGGGTATGTTTTTCAATAAAATAAGAATGGAAAATTGAAGGTGCATTGTGACCTTATAACATCTGACAGTGTCTCTTATAAAACTAAATCATATCGGCCGAAATTGGAATCAGCAGGTCAGACTTTTTAGAGATCGGTGATCGGCCAGAAAACTGCAATCGGGTCACCCCTACAATAAACCAAAAATCTCACTGCGGTCCCATTTTAACACAAGTAGAAGGGATTCAATTAGGGATGCACGATATTATCGGCATGGCATCGGTATCGACCGATATTGCGTTAAAGTTCAATATCGGACATCGGCCATTCCATTAAAATAACTTGCTGATATAAAAGGCACTGGTTTTGCATGCAGCGGCAGAACAACGTCATGACGTTGCAGCGGCAGAACAACGTCATGACGTTGCAGCGGCAGAACAACGTCATGACGTTGCAGCGGCAGAACAACGTCATGACGTTGCAGCAGCAGCACAACGTGATGACGTTGCCGCGGCAGCACAAAGTGATGACGTTGCAGCGGCAGCACAACGTGATGACGTTGCAGCGGCAGCACAACGGGATGACGTTGTAGCGGCAGCACAACGTGATGACGTTGCAGCGGCAGCACAAAGTGATGACGTTGCAGCGGCAGCACAAAGTGATGACGTTGCAGCGGCAGCACAACGTGATGATGACGTTGCAGCGGCAGCACAAGGTGATGACGTTGCAGCGGCAGCACAACGTGATGATGACGTTGCAGCGGCAGCACAAAGTGATGACGTTGCAGCGGCAGCACAATGTGATGACGTTGCAGCGGCAGCACAAGGTGATGACGTTGCAGCGGCAGCACAACGTGATGACGTCACGTGCGCCTACCTGATCTCACGGCGGAGAGGAAAATTAAAAATGTCTGCAGTGTGTAAGTTTTATTTTTCGTTGGCGAGGATGTCAGATTCTGAAGATTTATGGACTACATCGAGTCTCTCTACATTGTCCCCAGTCTGAGATATTTTTCTGACGTAACGTTACCCGAGTTACAAGCTGTCATTTCCAACGTCATTGAGAAGCTAACAGCGATAGCACGACTTGTTGGGTGAGTTTTACCACAGACATTTGGACGTTGTGTTAGCCCCGTTAGCATGATTAGTCTTACGGCACAATGGATGGACAAAACTTTGAAGTTAAAAAGGCTGTTTTTCATGCACAAGAGTGCAGAGGATCCCACACTGCAGCTATAGGAACCTGGAACAAGTCTTCACAAGTGAGACAGCATTGCAGGTGACTAATGCTAATAAATAACATTTAACACTTTTCATTTAATATAAGTTAAAGTGCTTTGATATCATGGCTGTTACTGAATATATGTCACCAGCTCTTACAGCTGTTGCACAATTTTTGTAGCAAATAGGCCTAAATAAGAGGAATATGTTCTGACAATGAAACGTACATAAAATATCCGTATCGGCATTGGATATCAGCCAAAAATCCAATATTGTGCATCCCTATATTCAATCTTTATAAAATGGGTAACCGAGAACATTTAAGTGAATAAAGCTGCTGCAACAAAGAAAGCACACCATTATACACACACACTGGCAGCAAGTCTTTTCTTTCATACGTCTGTTAAAGGAGGATCGTTTGTGCGTCAGAATGTAAATGATGTCAAACCATCTTTCACCAGTTTTACACAACCTTAAGGCAGCGGTTTGTTTCTGCTGCCTCAGAGGCCGGAGGGGGAAGTGTGCGTCGGTGCATTTCAGTCAAAATCTGCTCCAGTTCCACATTTCCACACGAGCGGCTGGTGTTTGTAACCACTCATCATGAGCCGCAGTAGAAATTAGACCGAGACAGAGAAACATTTGAAGTGTTCAACCAATCAGAAATGTTTGGTGTGCTCCCTCCATCACCACAAAACCCCACCCTGAGCGTTCAGGGCAGCGTCTGAACTCCACCCTCCCTGCAGGGATGCTTCCTGTGGTGGATTTTCTTTTATCTGTTTTGGTCCTGGCTCCTCATTCAAAACAGGAGAGGAGTAGATGATCCCACGAAGAGATTCTGGTTCCTGGGAACACTTTCTGTCGTCCAAACGACGCTTCACATCAAATGAAATGTAAATCTTGTTCAACAGCTGAACCTCACACACACGCTACAGCGTGAAATGCTCTCGTGTGCAGTCAGTTTAATAGTTTTCACATCTGAAGGAGTTGATTCAATATGAATGTAGTGGACTAGGCCATCTGTTCATCTACATGAATATAAAGAAATGAAACGTTTAATGACACAAAAGAAAACTCGTACCAGTCATTCCCTTTACTCTTTGAGATCGTTTAGTCTAATTGATGAGTAGATGGTTGTTTGTGCCTTTAAACAGCTGACAGACCACTTTAACTCAACAGTACATGAAAAGAACCTTTTGCTTCGACACTACAACGTGTAAACAGGTTTGAAGATATCAAATACCTGTTCTGTCATGTAGCGCCCAACTCTCTGTGACCCGTTTAAACCAAAGTGGTTCAAAACATCAAAGGATTATTGAGCATGAACTTTGCTGTTTTGAACCACCTTGGCCATAGCTGTCTCAGACGAGTTGACGGGGGAGAGGGCGGACTCCAGAAACCATCTTATCACCAGCAAACTGGTTGACCCACTATGTAAGGTGCTGCTTGTGGGACTGAGTTTGTTGTGGCTCCTCAGACTGATGAAGTCCTTTGGATGAAAGACGAAATGTTTCAACAAAAACAAACCATCCACAGGATCTTTGGTTGTTCAGTTCTTTATAATCTTTACTCTAAAAGTTGCAGCTCCCTGATGGAGCCGCACGTTTTGACGTTTGTTTGCGTGGACTGCCTGCTCATTGGAGCTGTTGGAGCAAGTGCTGCCTCCTTTTCTAAAGCGAGGATGCAAACTTCTGTTATTCTCCAACATTTGTTTATTAAAACTGGTCGTCACTCCAACAACAAGAAGACAAGTGTTCATGATTTAAACCTTACTGTTAGTTACCGATTATAAATCAGTATTACACATTCTATACCCAGCCCCTCCCTCAGCTTGGAGTTGGTTCAGGGCTGAACATCGGCAGCTCTGGCCCACAGTATTCAGCTATGGAGGAGGAAGAACAAGACCGAACAGCCACAGCAACCAGCATGTTATGGCTTTGCTTCCTTATTTTCTAACATGGTATGGGTGTTTCAATGATTTAGATTTTTAAGCATTTATCAAAAAACTTAAGACCTTCCACTGTATTATATATTTATATCCTGACAGTTTTCTTTTTCTTTCTTCTGATTGTCTGCCAGCTTTTCTATAAACCCCTGCCTCTTCTTTATTCATCACACAACATAAAATCTGAATGAAGCCCAGAATAGAAGGCCACCTTCCCAAAGAGTCACGTTCATTCATGGATCCCTCATCAAACAAAGCTCTCCAGCCAGAGTGGCAGCAACAATGAGAGGAACGGGCCAGACTTTACATTGTTTACTCTCCTCTCACTCTCGGGGCGTCCAGAAACTCTCTGTGGCTGCTGCCTGTCCCAGGTTGGCTCAGGAAAGGTTCTGTTCAGTGTTGTTCCAGATAAATGTTGGGTTCATGGAGGCTGCAACAATCAAAGGACCGGTAGCTCACATGTGTCTGGTGGTTTGTATCGGACGGGTTAGAAGTGTTTTCACGAGCAAACAGGAGATGTAGCAGCTTTAGGTGAAGGACGTGTTTAAAGTTTCTGAGCTGAGGTTGTTCTGAGGCGAGTCTGACTCCCCGGATGGTTCAGACAAAAACATCAGAAGTTTTTGTGAAAAGTAACCGACCCCGGATAAGCGGAAGAAAACTGATGGACGGATGAAGTTTTGTAGATTACCCAGTAAAAGCGCAGCCATACTCTGTAAATTTGATCCAATTCAGGACCATGACTGGGTTTGTTTTTTGGTCTTAAAATATTTCAACAAGATTTTTAAAATCTTAGTTATTCTCACTATTTTAACTCTAATCCTAAACCTAATATATGTAGACGTATGTATATATATATATATATATATATATATATATATATATATATATA